CTATATAAGTCTACTATGTTCCAGGCATTGTGCTGAATGCTGATATAAGAAAACCTAGAAAAACCAAAATGAGTCTCTGTGTCCTCCAGAGGGATCTGAATTTCTAGTTCTGGTTCTGCCATGAGCTAGCTATGTGACTAGGCATTTGGGCTCCCGGGGTAGAGCCAATTCCTCTCTCCAGACCTCAGTTTCCTCATCTGCTAAATGGGAAGGTTGGACCAAATGATCCCTAAGAATCCTTCCTTGGACCCTAACATTCTGCGAGGGGAAAAGCACATGGGGCAGAAAGCAGGTCAGTTCTGTAATTAAATGAGAGGTCTGAGATTAAGAAGAGTTTTGCCTCGATCCAGGCTTCATCTGGCTCCGATCCCAAGGGCTGTTAAGGTTTGTTAAAGGGTGTCTGCAAGGTCACTCCTCCCTGATCTGAGTGTACTAGATCTGGACCAGCCCTCTAGGAGGAAAAGTTCTTGATGTCAGGACATTCCATCCCTAGAATTATTTTTACAACGCCTTCTATCTCTGCATGATTTTTGTATCAGGCACAATTTTCTAACACTTTTAAAGACTTCAAACCAACCTGACTCTCTAGCCAACGTCATTTTATTTTAGCGTGGATCTTCCACATACCACCTGCATGGCCTTGGGCATGTCATCTGTAAAATGGGGAGATTAGATGATGGGATGACCTCTAAGGTCCTTTCCGGCTCTAGACCTAGGATCCCATGATTCTCTCAGCCTTCAGTTTCCTCATTTATCAAATAAGGGGGATTGGACTAGATGGTTTCTGAAGTTCTTTCCAATCCTTAAGCCCACAATCCTATGATTTTCAGCCTCAGTTTCTTCATTTGTAAAATAAGAGGGTTGCACCAGATGGCCTCGGAGGCCTTTTCTAGTTCTAGATATATTATCCTATGAACCCAAGACAGTGTCAATGACATGCCCAGCAAGAAATATTGTCATTAATTGAACTTGTTTACTGACATTTTTTAAAGTGTTCCAAAATTCCTATGTCACCAAAACAAAAACAAAGCAGGATCTAGGCTTTTACTTTTAACCTTGTCTTAAACTAGACCAGAGACTAGCGTTGGCAAGAATCTAAACATCTGTGACCTTGGTTAGCAGAAATGCAAGCCAGGTACGTTTCAGTTTTAATGGAAATCTGGGTTCCCTATAGTATACTATTCAATAAATACCATAGGAAAGACATAGCTACGTTGCAGACTAGAAGTTCAGAGAGCTGGGCTCTGCCACTAGTTAACTGTATGACCTTAGAAAAATAATTTTGATCTCTCTGGCCTAAGTTTCATCTGTCAAATGAGGTCACTGGTCTAGGCTATTGCTGAGGTCCTATATAACTGGACATTGTATGAGCCTCAAGGAAAAAATACTAGATATTCTCTCTAGCTCTGTCATAAACTTACTCTATGAACTCAAACATACTCCTCACCCCTTCTTGGCCTCCATCTGTCATACGAGGGGCATCAATGCTTTGGGTGTCTGACATCAACCAAAGCAGCATTAGTAACTTCAGCTCCAATAGGTAATAGAAGTGGCTAGATGGCCCCATGGTGGATAGAGTGCTGGGCCTGGTCTCAGGAAGACTCATCTTCCTGAGTTCAAATCTGGTTTCAGATACTTACTAGCTGTGTGACTCTGGGCAAGTTGCTTAACCCTGTTTACCTCAGTTTCCTCATCTGTAAAATGAACTGGAGAAGGAAATGGCAAACCCCTCCAGTATCTTTGCCAAGAAAACCCCAAATGGGATCATGAAGAATCAGATGTGACTGAAAATGACTGAACCAAAAAAAAAAAAGGTTTCTAGCCCAAATCAACAGAACACAAGAAGACGAATTAACAACAAATCAGTTAGTTAATTATGCTACCCTGGACGAGTGGCTTCAGTAAAATGGCTTTTATAGCCTGCTCCAACCTGTTCAACTAGACCCATTTAAAAATCCCCGGCAGCTCATTGTGGAGAGGACCTTTCCAGGAACCCAAGGGCTAGGACATGATTGGAATGCCTCTTAGATCTCAAATCCAAAAAGCTTTTCCCTGGTTGGGGTGGGGTGGGGGGGACTTGAAATAAGAGAGTGCCCATTTTCCAAACATATGGCAGAGATAGGCTGGGCATCCCAAAGCCTACCCTACCCCCCACCCCACTCCTCTCTGATGTGGTCATCAGCCACTTGTCAGTACAACACAAAACTCTATTTGTCCTTCCTCTGGGTGCTTCTGCCCAGCAACCACGAAAAGCTGTAGGGGAGCGGTACATGGCACGGCAGGCCTGATCTCCTGTCACCCTGCATACACCCAACCTGGAGACCCTCAAAAGAATAGGTGCTAACAAGAGGGAAAGAGCTACAAAAAGAATCAGAGAAAATCAAAATAAAAACTAGCTGGCACAAAATTTGGGAAATTCTCACCCGGTTACCCTTATAAACATCCCATGTCAGACAATTCAAGAGTCCAAGGGTGAAAATAGAATAAACCAAACATGAGTCCCACATTCTTCAAATGGGGATGCTCTCTCCACAGAAGAAAAGAGGGTTAGTTTAGAATACAAAGGACCTGGGTTCAAATTCTGACTCCACTACTTACTACCCATGCAGCATGTCATCTCACCCATGCAGGTGAAGCCTTAGCTTCTTCATCAGTAAAATCAGCTAGACTAGACGGTCTCTTCCAGCTCTAAATCTACAATCCTAGGACCTGGGTTCAAATCAAAGAGCACTACATTTGGAGTCAGAGGGCCTGGGTTTGAATCTGACCCAATTTGCTGTTTATTACCTGTGTGACCCTGGGTAAGTTAAATAATTTTTCTGGGTTTCAGTTCATATATATAAAATGGGGAGATTGGGGGGGGGCAGTGCAAGATGGCTTCTAAGGTCACTTCCAGCTCTGAATCTGTGATTCTTCACATAGTTCCAAGATAACATTAAACTGACTGTCCCATTTCAACTATCAGACCACAACTTAAACTCCATATAAATCCCTAACAGCAAGGATTCTTTGTTGGAGAGTGCCATCTGCACATGCAGAGATTGATTTTCCCCCTAATCCCACAGCCCTTTATGAAGAAACATTTCTCACAGGAGCCACGGAGGATTACAAAGGGAAGGTATCATTCAACCTGTTTCAAAGTTGGAAATACTAAGGAAAGTGACAGAAGATGTCCCTCCCAAAAGAATATGAGCTCATTGAGGGTAGAGGGCATTTTGTTTATCTTTGTATCCCCTGACCCTAGCACACAGTATGAACCTAATAAATGGTTGATGATTGACTGATAAACCAACCCTTAGCACCACAGTGCCTAACAGCTGAGTTTTCTAGCATAAGTACATCATGATTCACCTACCATACAAAGCAGTAAATTAGGAAAAGCAGAACTGTTAAGCACTTCAGGTGCAAAGGAGTCTTGGGTATACAATAGTCAAGGTAAGACCATTTAGAGAAAATGAGTAACAACTTTTGATTTTTATTTTGCTACCAGAATACATTTCTATTAAAGTATTCTAGTAATTATTCCATCAAATTTCTATTTTATTATTATTTTCATAAATATTTTATTATTATTTTATCACTCTATCTATGGCACTTAAAAAAAAATCACAAGCCATTTCTCTTGCTCACAGCTAACAACCACAGACTACTAGACTTGGATGAGGAAGACTCCAGTTTGAGCCCTGCGTCGGACACTCACGAGCTACGTCACCCTTAGGCTTACAAAGTCTGTCTCCTTATCCAGAAAATGCGAACAACAATACCAGCTACCTCATAGGACAGTTTCGAGACTCAAATGAGAAAACGAGGTAAAGCAATTGTAAATTTTTAAAGTCCTTTATAAACATAAGCTGCTATTATTATGATTTTTGAAAAGCCCTATCCACCCGGAGCTTTCCAGAAAGCCTGAGTCCCTTTTCTCTCTTACTTCTCAAGATCTGTTTTTAAGTGTGACCAGGACAGAGGTTCATACAGCCAGACTTTATTTGTGTGACGTTCTCTACAATCTCTACAACTCAAAAAGAAGGCGCGCAGCTTGTAAAAGGTGTTTGTTTTATTTAGTACATTCTAATCAAAGTTGGATACTTAGTAACAGCCGTGGATAAACACTTTGGGAAAAATAAAACAGGCTTGTTTCCCCCCGCATCCGGAAGAAAATGAAGTCCAAAGTACTCTATGCGGTAGAAGGCAGACAAGTGCCGATTCTGTGTGGCCAGGCAATTCAAGGATGACCCGGACACTGACTTTTAGAGCCATTTCCAAAAAAGTGAAAACGACCACAGGTCAGGACCAAAACATTGTTTTCATCACCATGGTCTCAGCTGCACCTGTGGAGCGTGACATTCTTGTATTTAGCCTTTTTTTTTTTAACCAGAACAAAACAAGGAAAACCAAGGTCCATTTGCACCAGTTTGAAATGTTTCTGAAGTAAGGCTCCTTTTTTTTTTTTAAATAAAGGGCTACAGTACTCTCCTACTCACACAAGATCGTCGGCCATTTGGAGTCAGAAGACAAATACAAGATTTCACGGTCACTGCTGGGTTTGGTGAATGGTATAAAACAAAAGATAAATACTGACAAGCATGTTCTGTTTAACAAGAACAACAAAAACTCTAAACAAGGACACCAGAATGTAAAATAAAGACGTTCTAAGACACCGCTCGACCACCAGGCAAATAAGTTGTGAGCAGCCCCATCTCGGCATCTCCCTTTCCAGTTCTTTTAGTGCCAGCTCTGAGCTTTAACACCGGCTGGACACCTGGCAGCATGTACCCTTGACACCCTGACAGCTAAGAACTCACACACAAAAGTGACCTGTTAAAAAAAGAAAAAAGAGGTTTCCCCGACCCTCAGATTGGCAAACGTACCACCAAACAATCATATAAAAGGGAGAGAGAGAGACTCCTCTTAGTGCCAAGGGTAAAGTCACTCAGACGAGAATACTGATGGAGATTTTAATATAGTTAGCTTGCTCCCACACCCCACCCCACCCCCGCCCACCCCCCCAGCCTTCCTTGGACACTTAAATTAGTTTCACTACAGTTGTTCTTACTGGGAAATCTCATTTCTGAGTTGGACACGTGGCTAGCCAGGGCTATGCCGATTTGGCTCTCTTGACATAGCTGCATTCAGAGAGATTCTACATGAGGCGTGTTTAGAAAAAAGAGAGAAATTTATACCTGGTACTGATAGCCTTTCAAGTAATCTTTTAGTCTTGTTGGTAAAGGCAATTCCCAGATCTTAGTTGTACATTTGTTTATAGAGAGTCTACAGAGATGCTGGAGAGTTGGAGTGGACGTATAGAGGGGTTTCGTCAGATAGAGATGCACGGTTCCATTCCGAGGGGTTTCGGCACCCGTCCTCTTATCCTTGCAAGTTCGCACGTAGTATTCAATTAGATGGACCACGCTGTCAAATTGTTTCAGCCTGGATTTAACACAGATGATGGAGTCCAATCTAAATTTCCCATCCTGGTATTCTATTCGAAGATTGGTTGGTCCTGCTGAGGTTTTGACAGATATAGTAAGCAAGTAGTCCGAGTGAGAACTGTCTCTGATCAGGAAGGTTCCTTCGGGGGCATCTTTTAATTTCTCTTTGGCTTCATTAACAGTCATGCTTCCCCAGTACCATCCTGAGGTTGATGTTTAAAAAGAAAAAAGGAGAAGAAAGGTGAGGGGATTATTCTAACCAGTTATCACGAGAAAGAAACTGCTGCTAGGAAAAATTCTCCTCGCTTCTAAAGAAAGTTTGCAAGGGGAGAATGTGTTGCCTTCAGAGCCTGCCAGAACTTCAGCTTGGGAAAACTTTCAGGAAGTTTTGAATCTGTTTTTTAGGGATGCCGAATGGAGACTTTATTTCTCTAAATAAAAGCCTTCCTCTTCATGGACTTTTTCAAAGTTAAAAACTTAAAAAAAAAAAACTTTTCCGTGCTGAAGTTACTTTTCTTTCCGAAGACCTACAACAGTCCCCAGTGCTTTTCCTCATTTCCGTGAAGTTGCTAAGATCAAAATTCAGTGACATATAGGCACAAAGAGTCCATTTTCCAACACTGGTAATTCTGTTGAACACCCCCCGCCCTATCCTATCGTCAAAGAACCATTTCACATTACCTCTGCTTTCATCTCTGGGGAGAATTCTAAGTTGTTCTATGTTTCTCCCTGAGAAGGATGTTTTAGTTCATTCCTGTCTTTATTCAATGAGGGCTAAAGCTCATTTCTTTAAGCATATCTCCCCCTCTAAAAAAAATGTATACATAATATACATTGCATATTATTATATATTATCACATGGTCTATGTATCATGTACATATATGTATATTACACACACTGGAGAAAAAGAGAGTATAGAAAACCACTCTTCATTATTGCTTCAATTACGGCCACTTTTTTTTCTTAATCCCTTATGACTCCATAAGAAAAAGCATGCAGCGTGCAGCCTCAGAGAATGCTCAGTACTTCCTCAGAATATTTTCACTCCTTTGGACTTTGCTTGGCTTCACCTCTCGTAAAACCTGACAGTAAACCAGGGCGGTCCCCTCTTTTTATCTGCCTGCACCCAGTCCTCCTGCTACAACAGAGGTAAACCAGAGTCCCTCTGTGGTTTAGGAAGTTTGGCCTCCGTCCCACGCTCCCCTCCTAGTGGGCCCTTCTTCCCCTACTGGAGGCTGAAAATCCTGCATGATTTGCAATGGAGAGGCTGCAGCAGCAGCTGGCTCTCCTGCAGAATCACCTACCTCTCTCCCTTCTTCCCCGGGTGCTGCAAAAGTCTCTCAAGACATTGGAAAAACAATCTATGGTCAGGCTTCCCACCCCCATGGTCAAACTAAACACCTAGGCTCAGCCAGGGGCAGAAAGAGAAGGCTAAGGCTGCAGGATATGTTGCAAAATAGTAATAATAATAACAACATATATACGTATAGATATTTTTGCTTTCTCTTTCAGATGCCAAGGGAGGGTGGTGAGCAGCACTTTACAAAGGGGGTAAAGGGGCAGCAGTGAGAAGCACTAGCTTTTCCTGCTCTCCCCCACCCTTACAACTTCATCCTAATCCACCAGTGGCCCGACTGCAGTGTCCCACTTCTGCTCAGGCTGGCCACGGCTCCAGCCCAGGAATTCGGCAGCAGCCTGGAAGCTGAAGCTCCAGGCAGGGCCAGCACTTCCCAGTCATCTCTCAGGCGAGACACCCGCCAAAGGGGCGGACAGCCACAGAGAGAGAGAAGCTAGGCAGACGACTCCTTCCTGCCCAGTTTCAGATTTATTTCTGTCCCCTCCCGGACACAAGATTCCTTGGGGAATGAGGCTATTCTAGGTCAAAGGGATGGCACAAGGCTGCTCTGTTCCTAAGCAATTCCCTCCCACCCCTGAGTTCTTCCCCAGGACCTAATCCTTCTCTAACTGCCCCTTTCCAGATCCCCAAGGATAATGCATGTAGACCTGGAAGGAACCTTAGAAACAGCCCATCATTTTGCAGAAAGTAAAGGCCGGGCAGTTTAGGTGATTTATTAGAGGGGACATTTGAACCCAAGTCCTTGGACTTCAAATGCTTTTTGGCATGTACTTGGATGAAGCTGAGGAGAAGAGCACATTCTTTTCCAGTTGCTAGAAGCTCCAAAAGTGGGACGTCTCCCCCCTCCCCCACCTTCTCCAGTCTCCCTTGATGTGGAGGGTGGAGCTGGGGGGGTGGTGGCGCTGCAAGGTGAAGCTGTGACTCTATCTCTGCCCTCTTACTCCCTTCACACCTTGATCCTGTTTCTCTGGCTGGCCTCCCTCAGTTTCTTGAGATGGGTTGTCTTTGCCCTAAGATTATGTGACCCGGAGTTCAGCTGACTGGAACGCTGACCCTTGCTCTTTCTTTGTCCCATCCCCTCACCTACCTGCCTGGCTCAATTCCCGCATGGCTGTAGCCAAACGCACCACCTCCGAGGGCTGCTCCTCTGCTGCACCTGCCGCCCCCCACTGGCTTCGAGTCCCTTCCGCACCATCCACGGTGGACTCGTGGGACCTTAGGGTCATGGGGAAAGGGTCACCACGACGAAGAAGCTGCCACCCAAACCGGGGCTCAGAGGAAGACGATGTGGGGTCTGAGTGGGCCGTCAGTCCTTCCTTGAAGTCAAGTCAAAACACCTCCCGAGGAGAAAACCAAGCTGGTGGGGTAGGGGAAAGGGAAGGGGATCCTGGCTGCTCTTCCTCCCCAGTGCGGGGCACGAGGATGGCAAAGTCCCCCAGCGTACCGTCACCCTCTATTCGCCTGCAATGAGAAAAGAGGGGAGGGGACAAAGGGAGAGAGAATCAGGGTGAGACCACCTCCTTGGGAGGTCGAGCAGAGACTCATTCAGGCTCGACCCTCACCACCCCTCCCCGCGTAGCAGCGGCACTTCTAACCCTGGGAGCATCCAGGTTCCACCTTGGCCAAGGTGGCTGGGGGGGTGGAGAGACAGATGGAGGGGGGAGGGATGAGGCGCAGCGGGTGGGGAAGCACCAGCCCACCGCTTTCAGGCTTTCTCCGGAGGGAGGCGAGTCACCTGCAACCTCGGTGGGATTTCAAGGGCAAGTGGGCAAGGGCAGCCAATGGAGAAAAGGGAGCAAGGTTACCCAGGGCGCCAGCCCCCCACCCCAAAAGCAGCACTACACGTGTCGAAGCACCCTGGGGGCGTGGGGGTGAGGGGTGGGGAAGGAAGCCCACTACAAACCTGGTCCCCAGCCCGCGAGCCCTCTGCGGTCTGCTGGACAGTGAGCCTCCTTTCTCACACTAAGGCGCCGATTTTCCCCAGGGAGGGGGAATCGAAGCCCATGACATTGAAAGGAACGAATGGTCACATCCCTGCCCAAGAGATTTCTTTGGTTTTCTCCCTCCCTCTCTCCTTCCTTCCTTCCTTTCTTCCCTCCCTCCGGCTCCTGGGGAGGCAGCTGTGGGAGCTCCAGCTCAGGCAGTCGGTGCTGGTGCAGCCGCCGGCGCTGTCGAGGAATCGACCCTCCCTAACCACATGGGGCTGGGGGACCAGGAGACGCTACGGCCATGCGAGCGTGCGCCCTGGAAACCGAAATGTACGCTGTGCCCTTACCTTGGCCGCCGCCTTCCTCCTCCTCCTCCTCCTCCCTCTCCTCCTCTAACCCAGGCTGTCTCCCCAGTGGACATGGGGCGGAGGGAGAGGAGGGGTGTCTGCCCAAGCCCCCCCCCTCCCCGGATGTTTAATAAGGCACTGAGATGCCCTGGAAGGTGGCAGACCCAGAGTGTGGCAGTGGTGCTCACGGTGGCTGGAACTCCCTCCGCAGGCGACGGCCAAAAGTCCAAGGGACTGTGTCCTTCTTCTCCGCCACCCCCCCACCCCCCCACTTTTTTTCCCTCCCGTCTCCCTCCAGCAGCTTCCCGGGTTTCCCTCTGGCTGGTGGGAGGGGGGAAGGGAAGGGGGTGGGAGTGAGGCTGGAAGAGAGGGAGGGGCAGGAGGTCAGATTATTAGAAGGATGATTAATTTGAATGGGAATTCGGAGTCGGGGTGGAGAGGGGGAACATTCCCGGGAGACGTCGGGACGCCAGGAAGGAATTGTAAAGTGGGTAGAAGTCCCGGGGTGCGGGGGGGCAGAGCTTTCGGGTCGACCCCGTTGCAGGGGAGGGGGCAAAAACCGGGGAGCAGAGCGCTTCCGTCCCCCCTCCCCTGCAGGCCACTTAGCCTCCCCAGCCCCAGCCTGCCCTCCCGGGGCGGAGCCCTCCGGGAGTCCCCCCGTTGGTACCTGCCAGCAGCCCCCTCCAGAACTCCCTCCTCCCGCTGCGGCCGCTGCTCGGGCTGCGCCCCCCCAGCTGCCGCCGCCGCTCGGGCCCCCCGGGAGGGGGTGGGAGTGCCGAGCGCAGGGGGGCCGGGCGCGCACCATCCGCGGCAGCGGCTGCGGGCGCGCGGAGGCGCATGCTTCGGGGGCTGCCCAGCGCAGCCGGCCGAGAAGCGGGGCTAGAAGGAGAGGGCGGTCGGGGCCTCGAGCGTGCGGGCAGGGCGCGCGATCTCCAAGGCGCGCGCGCCTCGCTCCGCTCCGGCCGCCGCCGAGCCCCCCGCCCCGCGCGTGGCCCCACCCCCTTCCCTCCCGGGCTCGGCGCTCTCCCCACCTAGGCGGAGGAAGGGGCCGCTTTCCAGGAACTTTCCAGGAATCCGCGTCACGTGGCCGCAGCCCGGTCTGCAGCTTTAAAGAGGCTCCGGAGCAAACCGCCGCAGCCGCCGCCCCAGCTCGGGCACCGCGGAGCTGTCCTGCCCGCCGACCCGGCGTGCTGGGGGGTACCCCGGCTCCTCCACCCCCAGCCATTGCATTGCTTCTCCACCCCAGCAGCCCACAAACGTTTATTAAACGCCCGCTATCAACTCAAGCGTCCGGCAAAGAAAGGCAAAGGAAGCCTCCGCCCTCGAGAAGCTTATGATCAAAAGTGCCCCCGCAGGGAGGGCACAGGGCACCGGCCCGCTCCCTGCCCCCAGAATTTCCAAGGGTTGATGACCAACGCCCCCAGCCCCTGGGTTCACCGTAGCGGGTGGGCCCCGTCCAAGGTGTGGAAGGATGCCCGCCAAGGCGACTTCCTCCTCCCTCCGACGGCAGCTCCGTCCCCGCCATCTCTTAGCTTATTTCACACACACACACACACACACACACACCCCCAGGGTGATCCCCCGTGCCTACTCCAAGACCGCTCCCATCCAGACTAGGAGGAGGCAGAAGATTCTCGGAAACACGGCCCCCTAGCCGCTCCCCTCCCCTTAGCTGGGGTGCCGGGGGTGCGAGAAGTGCCACTCCTACACTCCGACTGAGTGGCCTCCCCCTCCCCCACTTAGGACTAGAAAGAGCAGGAAAAACCCGGGGCCGCCGCTCGGGCAGCAGGCAGCGGTCCGGGAGGGTGGGGGGGCCGCTTTGACGTGGGTGCCTGGAAGGCACCACCGCGGGCGAAGCCCGAGAGCCGAGGAGACGCGCGCCTCCTTAACCAGCCCCAGCTGCTCCGACAGTCCCCTCCCTCGCCAGCCCGCTCTGGGCTCGCCCCTCCCTGCCTCCCAAACGCCCCCAGCTCCACCCTGCTCGCCCCGCCCCGTCCAGCTGCGCTGCTGCTCACCTGCACCAGGGGAGCAGGGCCACGCCCATCGCTACCTAGGCTCCCAGGGAGGCCCCGGACGCGACCAGCCTGGCGCTCCTCGGAGTGACCCCGTCACCCACCTTCGCCTGCAGATAGCTGGGTGACCCAGAGGACGGGGGGATCCGAGAAATCCAGAGCTTCCCGTCCCACCCCCACCCCCACCCCGCTATAGGAGGCCTCAGAGCTTCAACTTATCACCTCTCCCCCGCACCCCCGCCCCCCGAAGAGTGACCTACTTTAAAAGTGACCTACTTTTTTTTTAAAACCCCAATACTCTCACGGGAAAACTGGATCCAGAATTTAGATAAGCATTTTTTTCCTTTGAAATATTATCCTGTTGCATCACTTTACTAAAGCTTGAAAGGTCAACAGCCACTTTTGGGGATGCTATGGTGAAGGAGAAAGCTGGGGCGGGAGAAGACAGGCACAGGAGATGGGAAGGGAGGCGGAATCCGATTAAAGCCTGCGCTTGGTGCCCCCTCTGCTGGCGGTTCGAAGATTTGCAGCTGAGGGATTGGCTTTTGGCTGGGAAATGCTGCAATTAAGTAAGGGACCTAAGATGTCAGAAGTGTCCCACTCTCCCGTTTTGGAGATGAAGAAACTGAGGCAGACAGGTTAAGTGATCTGCCCAGAGTCACGCAGCAAGTAAGTAGCTGAGGCTGGATTTGAACTTGGGTCTTCCTGACTCCAGGCCCAGCAGTTCTATCTACTGCCACCCTCCTTGATTTCTCTGTGCCTCAGGTTTCTCATCTGTAAAATGGGAAGACAGCATTAGACCAAATGACCACAGGATCATAGATTTAAAGCTGGAACAGGCCTCAGAAGCCACTCAGTCTAACCACCTCATTTTGCATATGAGAACTGATGCCCAGAGATGTTAAGTGACTTGCCAGGATCAGATATAATATCCTGTTTGGTTTTGAAGCCCCTCAAAAGCAGCTTCCCCCACTATACGCACCTTTCCAGTCTTCTTACACCTTTTTACCACGACCACCACCATGTATTCTCCAAAAGAGTGACACTGACCTCTTTTCTGTTCCTGAAACAAAACACTCCATCTCTCAGCTCTGGGCATTCTCATTGACTATCTCCCATGCATGGAATGTTCTCTCTCCTCATTTCCTCCTTCTGGTTAAAAGCTCCCCTTCTACAGGAAGCCTTTCCAAATCCTTCTTAACTCTAGGGCCTTTCCGCTATTGATTGCTTCCTATCTATCCTGTATATAGCTTGTTTGTACATTTTGTTGTTTTTCACTTGTGTCGACTCTTCATGACCCCATTTGGGGTTTTCTTGGTAAAGATACTAGAGTAGTTTGCCATTTACATGTTATCTCCTCCCATCATATCATTAGGTTCTCAAAGGCAGGGAAAGTCTTTTGACTTTCTTTGTACCCCCAGCACTTGGCATAGTGCCAGGAGCATTTTAGGCACATAATAAATGCTTATTGACTGACCAACAATGAATGAATGATGAACAATTAATTATTGCAGTACGGGTGGACGTCGATAGATTTTAGCCTATTCCCAATGACTTGCATTGAGGAGTGGTATAAAAGACATTATCAAGGACATGTGTGACCAAGTGGAAAAGGACATGGCCAGTTATGTAGCAAGAGCCAGGGATGGCCAGCCCAAGTGTTGGACTGGCATCCTCAGAATGTTAACAGATTCAGAGTAAGAGTTACCAGGCATCAGGTAAATAAAACTAAAGTCTTGGTTTCATTGTGGGATTTCAATGCGTAGAGATGGAGACTGGGAAGAGAATGGATCTAAGTAACCTATTCACTACATTCCTTGGGGTCTCACTGAAATGTAGCTTTTTGCAATTGAGGTGCCTCTATGGCTTTCCCCACCTCTGATGAAGATGGAATAATCTTAATCCTTCATCCAGGCTTTTAATAAAGCCTAATAATTCTTTTATCTAAAGTACTTTAAGTTTTTCAAAGAGCTCCTCTCACAATAATCTTGTGAATGCAAAATTCGTCCACAGATTAAGTGTCTTAGCACAGTCTTGCACACAGCAGGCACTAGATAAATGTGTGCTGAATTGACTGAATCTTACTGGTGTGGCTACTCCTTGATTCAATGCAAAGCTTACCTCCCCACGTCTTTTTATTCTGTATAATTTTCTATGTCTTCCCATATTTTCCACAAACAATCTTTTAACCTGATTATATTGCAGGGTGGTACAAAGTGAAGTAGGTAGGTTGCAATGGTATACTGAAGAACTCAGAAAAATTTTCCCAGGAAATATTGCTCTAGCTCAACCTGCTGTTAACGTGTTAACTTGATGTTTCAACTCTGCATAATCCCTACTCACCTTTTGTTTTCCCAATCCAGTTCAAAAGATTATAAGAATGTTGAGATTTTGTCTAGTTTTGGAATGAGCTTGGCTCATTCAAATGTCTGTAGTCTGGCTCTTCCCTTCTAGCTTAAGAAAGAAAGAAGTCCTTGACCAAACAAGAAAACACAAAGTACTGGATCAACTTTTCAATACTCCCCTATCCTTGACAACTCAGCTCAAATGTCACCTTCTCCATGAAGTCTTTCCTCAACTCACAATACTCCCAAATGTGGCCAGAACCAGATTAAAATGTAAGTGGGAAATATTTAACAAAATAAATAAAAGTACAGTACAACATAGATAATGTTAATTTGTGGTTTTCTAAGTCGATATGATGCCAGGAGGGATCTGTTTTTATTTGCATTTGACACTACTGTTGGGGAAAACTAAAGAACCAATGAAAAGGCAAAGGTGTAGTGGGTGGTAATTAACAAATGCTTCTTGATTGATTAATAAAGGTCACTGACTCTGTGTCTAAGTAGATCTTCTTGTCCTTGCTTGAAAATATTGCTTATGTCCCTTCATAATTGGATGAAAGTCAACAAACATTTATTAAACAAGACTTGTACGCAGAGTAAAATAAGTAGGAAGAACCAGAAGAAGAATTTATACAATGACAACGTTGCAAAAGCAAACGCTTCAGAGAGACTTTAGAACTGTGATCAACCCAGTAATTAACCATGATTCAAGAAGACTGATGATGAATGAACGCCACCTCCCACCTGCCTCCTCACAGAGAGGACATAGATTCAACATGCAGAATATGAGATGATACATTTTTGCACGTGGCCAATATAGGGATCTGTTTTGCATGACTCTGCTTATTTCTTACAAATGTTTTCATTTCTTCTCTTTTTTTTTTTTTCCTCCTGGGAGTAGGGGGGAGGAGGAAGGTAGGAAGAAGGAAAAATAAGAGCTTAATTAAATTAATCAATAGATAAATTAACAGATAGATGAGTGGATAGATATGAGTAGATATAAATGAGTGGATAGATACAGATGAATGGATTGATAGATACAGATGAATGGATGTAGATTTAAAAACAAGCATTTATTAAATATTCACTATGTGCTAAACACTGAATATACAAAGCCAAAATAAAAATCTCTGCCCTCAGGGAGATCACATTCTATATGAAGAGAGGTCACCTAGCCCAGTTTCTACATTAACAAATGAGGAAACTGAGGCCCAGAGAAGTTAATTAGCTTTTCCTAAACAGCAGACATGGTATTTGGAACCTCATCATCTGTCTTCACATCCATCCTTTTCATTACAGCCTTCCATATTCACACCTGCACTTGCTTTTCCTCCCCCACTAATAACTAAAGAAATGCTGCCGTCTTTCCTGTGGCATTGTCCACGGACGTTTATTACAACAGCCACATGTGTGCCCTCACTTTCTAGCTTAGATGAGTTCCTGAAATGTTGTGCGAAAATGGACTCATTTCCCTATGGGCATGCTAGATTTTCAGGCCTGGGGGAGATGTCAGGAGGGAGGAGGTGTATTGCGAGAATATATTACCCAACTATGTGAGTAGGAGGAAAAAATGACAAATGATCTTCAATGTAGGCAAGAGAAAATAC